ATAGCGAGACCCTGTCTGAAAAAGACCAAAAACAAAAACAAAATAAAAAAATAAAAAAGCGTTGGGGATGTAGCTCAGTGACACGGCCCTGAGTTCAATCTCCAGAACCCAAAAAAGGGCGGGGGCAGGAATCCAACGTAAAATAAAGTATGGGGTCCTTTGTTCAGACACTGGTAAGATGACGGGGAGGGCCTGCTGAGGCCGCCCGGAGGGGTGTAAGCGGAGGGTGCACTCTTAGAAGAGAAAGTGGAAGCCCCTCGGCTCCTGCCTCTGCCGACAAAGGCCCGGAGATACTCAGCGTGGCTCTGGGTCTGGAGGGACAGAGGTGCTTGAATGGGCCTGAAGAGTTTGGGGACCAGGGCGGAGGCTGCGTCTGCTACTTCTCTGGGAAAAGTGGGCGTCTCTGGGGCGCATCTGCCTGCTGTCATGGCCCTTAGGAGCTCCAGGGTCCCCAACTTCCGGTGACCGGAGACAGCTGAGCTGCCAATCAAAGCTTTTTTTTTTTTTTTGGATACCGGAACTCAGGACCTTGCGTGCCAATCAAAGCTTCCTGCAACAGGAAGTGGGGGAGTCCGACACCTGAGGGGTCCCCGGGACTCCAAGGCCTACTGCGATGCTCGCCCTATGATTCCCCTCCCTGGCTACAGGAGTTCCGCTGAGCCAGCCCCGGGGGAAGGAGGGGTGTCTCCGAGGGCCGGCCCCGGAGGGGACAGGGAGGGCAGGGCAGGCTGCTCACTGACCTCGTAGACGGCCAGGTCGATGCCCGCGTAGGGGATGATGCCCAGCACGTTGGGCAGGTAGCCGCGGTAGAAGGCGCGGGGCCCCTCCCGCTCCAGAATCCGCCGCGCGCAGTCCAGCAGCCCCGTGTACTGGCCGGTCCGCCGCAGGGTCAGCCGCGTCTTCAGCACCTGGAAGAAGCCAGTGACCCCTGCAGAACTTGCTCAGCCCGAACACCACATCTCGGAGTGACGATACCTAGAAATGGGTACTCCTAGAAGCAGATACCCTGAGAAGAACTGAATGAAACAAAAATTATAATTAGATCCCAGCATTCTGGGAGGTCGAGGCAGGAAGATCACAAACTCTAGACTAGTCTGGGCAATTTATCAAATTAACATGACCCTATCTCAAAATTAAAGATAAAAAGAGCTGGTGGCAGGGGGCGCTGGGGATGTGGCTCAGTGGTAGAGTTCTTGCCTTGTATGCACAAGGTCCTGGGTTCCATTCCCAGCACCACCAAAAATAAAAAAAATAAAAATAAACAAGAGCTGGGGATGTAGCTCAGTGCAGAGGCCTGGGGTTCAGTCCCCAGTACCCCAAAGCAAAAACATTTATGTACTTGACAATTTTCTGCTTCCCCCTAATCTATTTGAAATGGTTATGCCTACTAGAGAAGCCTGTGGCAACCCTCCAATACCTTGTTCCCTTCTTCCTTGATAATAGCAAGATAATTTTCAGCAGCCACACAGCCATTAGAAATACAGTCTACCTCTCCTGGTCTCCCTAGGTGTATGGCCATGTTACTAACTCCTAGCTAATGAAACAGAAGGAAAGGAAAGAGGTATGTATGACTTTCTTTTGTGGTTTCTTTTTGGCTGGAACGTGGGAGGTGATGAACAGAGTGCAAGCAGCCACACTGGACCATGAGGTTGGTGCCATTCACCAAGATGGTGGGACAGCAAATGGACAGAAGGAGCCTGGGTCTCTAATACTCTGGGTCCACCCCCGGCCTGACTTGCTCATCTCAAGACTGACTGACTTTCTTTTTTCTTTCTTTTTTTTCTTCCTTTTTTCCTTCCTTTCTTTTTTCTTCTTTCTTTTCTTCCTCCTTCCCTCCCTCCTTCCCTCCCTTCCTTCCTTCCTTTCTCTCTTTCATTTTGTCTTTTTTTGAGACAGGGTTTCACTATGGAGTTCATGCTGGCCTTAAACTCACTTTGCAGCCCAGGCTGGCCTCAAACTCACAGCAGTCCTCCTGCCTCAGCCTCCTGAGTGTTGGGATTATAGGCATGCACCACCAGGCCCAGCTTTAAGGCTTCATTTATAGTTAGAGTTTTCTGTCACTTTTAGAATCCTAGTGATATACCTCATAACCTGAGATGTAAAATGATTTTTTGTGAAATGAGTGTCTAGAAACCGTAACCTCTGGGAACAACATTCTATCCCTAGAAGAAACACATCCGGAAATGGCTGGTTGCTATGACTACTACCCAAGGGGTTCTGACCAAGGTCATGGTTCCCAAAAGTTACTGCTCAGACTGCAGCAGCCAGTTCAAATTGTAGCTCCCGGACAGGCTAGACGGGAAGGGCACTGCTTCCATGGGCTGTGGCCCTGAATCAGGGAGAGCCAAGGCAAGGAGGACCGGAAGTTATGGCTGTCTCCCCGACACCTCCTCACCTCCATGGGGTAGATGACGGTCTGGGCCGTGGCACCGGCCAAGGAGCCAGCCACAAAGCGTTCCTGCACGTGTAGGGTGTCCTGCTGTCCCCGGATGGCCCGCTTGATCTGAGGGAGGAGATGGAGCTGGGTGGGGCTTGGGGAGGAGGCTCCACGCGCCCCATTTACTGGCTGCCCCACAACCAGCCCGCTGTGGGCACTGTGGGCGAGAGCAGCCCCGGCACACCCCCACCTCCAGCCGACCCCGAAGTCCCCGAGCCTAGGCCGGGCCCTGCGCCCTCACCTGCTCGTAGGCCATGAACTTGATGGCCGACTCAGGCGCGATCTTGAGCACGTTGATGCCGTTGCCCCGCCACAGGGAGAGGACGCCCCCCTCCCGGACCATGCTCCGCAGGCCGCCCAGGATGTTGAGCCGGTTGGTCTTTGAGGCATGGACCTGGGTGGGGAGACAAGGGGGCCTTGGAATCCCGTCCTAGATTCCAGACCTGGGGGACAAGCCGGGGCCCCCAGCGTCCCTCACCTGCATGAAGACCTTGAGGCGGTCCAGAGGAGCTGTGCCCGTGCGGGACACAGCGCCGGCCACCGCGCCGGCCACCAGCTGCTTCCACCACATACCCGTCAGCTTCTCCTGCTTCGAGAACTCGTCTGGCACCGTCAGGCATTCACCGATGTCCAGGACCTGAGGACAGGCAGGGCCTGGGGCTGTCACGCCCTGCAGGGGTCCTCAGCGGACAGTCTCCTCCACGAATCCCAGGACACCTCAAAGAGTCCACAGGGAATCTTGCTGGAGAGGCCAGGAGATCCTTCTGGGATCCCACGAATGCCACCAAAACATCCACCCCAGTGGTCTCTATGTAATGTAAGACTTTAAGATTCCTCCACCAAATCCCACTGAAGGACCCCCATATCCCACCTAAAACCACCACATCTGGGGCTGGGGATTAAGCTCAGTGGCACAGCACCTGCCTGGCAAGTGCAAGGTCGTGAGTTCGATCCCTGGTACTGGAAAAAAAACCAAAAAACAAAACAACAACAAAAAAACCCCACATCCCACCAAAGGACCTGTCAAATCCTACCAAAGGACCCACCCATTCTCACCAATGGATCCTACCCAAGCATCTCCCTCTAGAGCTTAGTAAATCCCACTCAAGGGTCTCCCTTATAAGGATTCCAGAAGATCCCTCCTGAGCCACACCAGCTCCTGTGAGCAACCTCCCACCTAGGGACCCCAGCAGATCCCTCCCGAGGCCTCTCAAGATCTCCCAGTGAACTCTTCCTCCCCAGTTCAGAATTCCCAATAAGGTCCCCCTACAAGATAGAAGTCTCTGGGTCTCCTGAGAGAAGCTTGTTAGATCCCAGGGGTGGATCCTCTTTAGACACCAGCACATCTTGGTGAGTCTTGGGAAGTTGGCATTGAGAACAACCACCCCCACTTCCGATAGATCCCTTGGAGCCTAAAAAGCCAGTGGCTTCCTGGCTCTTCTATCCAGGAGTAGATCCTTTACGGACGGGCACACAGCGTGGCAGAAAGGGAGATGTGTGTGGTGTGGGACCGGAAGCCCATCTGGCGAGCTCTCTCCTACACCCTCTGTCCCCACAAGCTGTCCCCAGACGTCCCCTAGTAAGACTGATGGGCCCCCCCAGACAGTGGAGATGTCCTGGATGGGTCCCCAGGCTCCTGAACCCCCTGTGCAGGAAGAGAGAGACAGCTCCGGTCCTCAGCGGCTCCCGTCTGCACAGTAGAGGCACAGCCTTCCCAGCTGAGCAGGAGGAGAGGGCCCTGCTGCCGGGCCTCAGGCCGCTCACCGTGGAATGCTTCCAGAAGTACAGCACATCCTCCACGTTCTCCAGCGAGTGCAGCAGGAAGTGGTCACGCCATTCCTGCCAGTCGATGGTCATCGTGCCGTCACGGTCCATGCTGGGGGCAGGGTTGAGACAAGCTCAGTGCCTCAGGCTGGGTGAGGTGCTGTGCGGTCTGCAGGTCTGGGGCGCACTGAGGGACAGAGAGCTATCCACATCGCTCATACTGCTCTAATCCCATTCCCTAGGTCGCCCTGTTCCGATTCCTCACTCCCAGCTATCAGGGAACCCTGTTACCTTCGTCTTACAGTGACGGGAAACTGAGGCTCAGAATGGTTAAAAACAACTGGCTCAAAATGTGTCTCACTCCAGAGACCAGCCTCTCAGCTCCACCTTCCCTGGACCTGGTTCGGTGGCTCAGAAGATGGTGGTGCCTGAGGGGCCCTGGGGGCCCGAGTTACCTGCAGTTCTGCACCTTTAGCTGCTTACCTTTGTAGAATCTTCTCCACCTGCTCCAGTGAGATGGAAATACCCAGAGCTCGGAAACTCTGCTGGATCTCAGAGACATCGATATGACCTGGAAAGCGGGTCAGAGGTGGGGAAGGGTGTGAGTGGAGGGTTCCGGGAGACCCCAGTACTAAATATCGCTGCCGCTTGAAATGGACAGGATCTAGCAAGACCAGGAGAAACCCAGGGCAAGGTTGTAGGGGGTGCAGTGAGGTCCCTGATGCACTGGGTCAGAGAGGTGGAACAAGGTACTACTGAAGAGTCTTCTATGAATGGAGGAATGAAGGAATAAATGAATGAATGAATGCATGGGGGTCCTTATGTCACAAGGTATTACAATGAAACATTTAGAGCCCAGAAGTTCCTAGGGGGTGGGTGTCTCTGTCCCCGAGGGAACCCAGAAGCATTATGGGAGAATCTTTGTTGCCCAGCAAAATCTAAGGGCAACAATAGGGGTCTTGCTTCAGAAGGGAAAAGGAAGTGGGCTGGGCTGGCTGGGACTCGAACCACCTCGATGGGGGTGAGGAGAGCTCCTAAAATAGCTCGTGAGTCATCAGAAGCAGCAGCCCTCCCCCTCCTCGCTGCTCGGAGGCTTCCTGCCAGTTCTAACCCCATCCACCCGAGGCTGATCCCCACCTGCAGCCAGGCTTACCGTCCTGGTTGCGGTCAAGGCTGTGGAACATGAGCAGCAGGCGCTGTTCCCGCTCCTGCAGGTAGCGCGAGAATTCCTCCAGGTCTAGGCCGCCACTTGCATCGGCTTCTCCCTCCGCGGGCGAGCGATCCTGGCAGAGGGGAAGGGGACAGAGTAGGCTTCAGGAGGCTGTGCCCTATCCGGAAGGGGCACAACAAGAGCCCTACACTTCAGGAACCCAGGGCCCCTAGCAATTCCAGCAAGTGGGCAGGGGACATCGCTCCCTTCTCCTTTCAGCTCCTGCCCAGCAAGATGCCCAAGCCCACCACGGCAATGTGGGGTGTGTGTGGCCGCTGCCCAGTTTTCCTGGCGAGCAAACTGAGGCTCTGCAAAGGTCAAGTAACTAGTTCAAGGTCACAGAGCTGGGAAATGGTAACCTTCGATCACTGTCTCCAAAGCCGATTCTCCCAGCTGTCACTTACAAAAGCCTGTCCCCATGGCCATCCTTTAGAGGAGCCAGCTGTGGGCAGTGTGGGGCTGGGAGGCCAGCGGCCTCCACATTCCCTATCTGGAAAGTGGGAGTTGGGGCTGAAGTTCTCAGGGTGCTGTGAGCAGATTCAGGGGCTATGGGCACGAAGGATCGGCAAAATGGGGTGACTGAAACGCAACTGACAGGTGCACCCCCGGCTCAGGGCGGCCTCAGAGCTGATGGAGTCCCAGCCGGCACACAGCCTGGGGCAAGGAGCCATGCCAGGAAGCCATGCTTGCAAGCAGGGGCTGGGCAGCGGGTGCCCAAAGGAGATGGGGAGGGTGTGTCCTCTGGGGGTGGGGGCAGGACATGTCTTGGGCCGTGCAGAGTCCACGGGAGAGCATGTCCGGGACAGGGGGTGGGAAAGCCCTTGCTCTGTCCCGTGGCAGACATGGCCCACCTCCAGGGTACCCGTGTGGGCAGCCAGCCTGCAGGCCCGGGCCCTTGGCCACCTGCCTTTCGATCCCGCTAGGCCAGACCCGAGTGGGCAGGGGGAAGGGAACGGAGACAGAGGTCCTGGAGTCCAGCCACAGGTAGTCCCTGGAGGTTCCAGCCGCTCTGTCCAGGGGACCCGGGAGCGGGTGCACAAGGAAGGGGGTCCCCAGCAGCGAGGGTACCTGCTGGGCGCCGCGATCTGGGTCGCCCCCACCCATCCTGGCCAGTCCCTGGCGCAACTCGTGCACGTCCACGCGGCCATCCTTGTTACGGTCCAGCTCCTCGAAAAGGCGACCCCAGCGCTGGCGCCGCTCCGCGTCGCTCGAGCCCCCCCGCATGGTGCCTGCCTGGGAAGCGTGGGGGGGAGGGGGAGGCCCGGCAGCGGCAGCCTCAGCGGGGGCTTTGGGGCTCCCCCTCCCCCCCGGGGCCCCGCAGGGCCAGCTCCGAGGCCAAGGAAGCCGGTGCTTCTTTACCGCACCGCCCGGCTCAGGCACTGGCTGGAAGGGATGAGTGCTGGCCGTCGCCGCCCGCGCCAGAACTTGAGTCTCCTCCCCCCCCGCGTTGGGGAGAGGCGGAGGGGGCGAGGGCGGAGCTAGGGGTGTGGGGAGGGATCTTTTAGGATGCTCCGGGAGTGCACGGTCGAGGAGCACCAGGGAAAGAGCATAGCAAGCTCAGTAGCTTCGTTCTGGTTTCAAACTTCCATCCTTGCTCGCCTCAGTTTACTCATTCCCCTGTCTTTAAGGGGAGGAGGGAAGGAGACGTCAGGGATTGGGTTTCATAATCCCTTTACCGCTTGACCTCCTTCTCCTACTAATCCTCTTCAGGAACTAAAGTTCTCGCTTTTCCCAGACGAACGCAAGAACCCTGAGCCGACTAAATCCTTCATCTGCCCGTCCGCGCGGACAGATTCTCCACTCGGTGACAGAAACTCAGGATCAAGAGTCTGCGCTCCCTGTCTGTCGTTTCAGCCCTCCCGCGCCCCTCCTTTCTCAGTCTCACTCGGGCTGGGAAACACAAAATCAACTCGCGGCGCAACTGCAGAGTCGATTTCCTATTGGCCAGAGCCTGAGCTGCGCCCGCCCGTCCCTCCCCCCCCCCCCCCCCGTGGACCTCCCTGGTGACCCAGGGCAGCCTCAGGTCCTGGCGCCTCAAGGCCCTTCAGGCGGTTTTAAAGGGGCCGCGGCTGGCCTCGGGCGCCCGGCAATCTGCTCCTAGCCTGGGGGATTTCTGTGTTCAGCGCGCCCCTGGGGAAGAGGAGCGGTGGCCTTGCCCTGGAGGCGGAGTCCCAGCCCTACGCTCTTGCTGCACCTGCCAAAGTCCCTCCCTGTACTTTGGGAAGCCGTTTCATAAATCGCCGTTAGGGGGAGGGGCGCCCACTTGACAGCGAATAATAATAATATTAATAATAGTAGTAGCAAACATTGCTTCCTGCCCTGCACTTGCCAGACCATTTATTCACCTCCCGCACTGTCCTCGCCTGCCCCTATAAGGTAGGGGATACTAGCGTTTCTACTTTATAGACGAGGAGCTATTAAATTTCCCAGTCCTCACTCCCAGAAAAGCAGCGATTTTTTGTTTTGTTTTGATTTGTTTTGTTTTAAGACAAGGTCTTGCTATGTAGCCCAGGCTGGCCTTGAACCCACAGCAAGGGTCCTCCTGCCTCAGCCTCCCCAGGGCTTGGATTACAGGCGCGCAATACCACACCTGGCTTAAAGCGGGGAATTAAACACATCTTGGATCCTTAACCATCACTTTATACTCTGGAATGCACTCATCACCCTTTGTTCGTCTCTACTTGAGATTCCCTGGGACTGGATCGTGTGCCTGTCACCCTTTATCCAAAAATGCAGCCGTCAGGGCTCATTTGGTTCCAGCCCGGCCGCTGTCCGGCCAGGTGTTTGTGAACAGGTCGGTCCCAAGGAAACCTCTGACAGCCAACAGATGTTTTATTCACAGGTGCCCCGCTCAGGTGCCCTACAACATGGGGGCAGGTACGTGCCTGACGGTGGGGCTCAGTACACGGGACCGTCTGTCCTGCCGATTGTCCCACAGTTGTGCCTTAGTGTGTGGAGCGCCTCCCGCACGTGCGGTTCGGGTTTCCCTTGATTTGAGTTCAGTTCTTTGCTGGATGCGGTGCTGCACGCATGTAATGTCAGTATTCCTCCGGGAGGCTGAGCTGGAGGATGGATGTAAGTTCTCGACCAGCCTGGGCTACATAGCGAGAGCCTATTTCATTAAAAAATAAAAATAAAAAAAGAACTGGGTTGTAGACAGGTGCTGTTTATCCACGGCTGTATCTTTTACCTCCCAGGGATGTTGTCAAGCGGGTGTCCTGTACCCAGGAACGTGTTACACAGGTACCGCATGTCCCAGTCAAGTGTACATCCATGGGGTCCCATGCGGGTGTATTTAGATGCAGGTATTTCTCGAAACAGGCATTCCCTTCACATTTCCATACAAGAATTCCCTCATTCAAGTAGCGTATATTTCACAGGTGAGCCAAGCAGTTTCGGTTCCAGAAAATAGGTGTGGTCCAACACAGGAGCGCCTCCTTCTGTAACTGAGGTGTCTCCCACACCTTGTGATTTCATTCAGCTATGCCCCGTATGGAGGTGATTCAGTGCCGGTGTCTCCCTAAGGGTTCTTACCTGGGAACATCAGCAGGTATCGTCTACGGAGGTGTTTATTTCATTAGGAGCTCCCAGGCCTCACTCACCGGCGTCTACGTGCCCTGTGTATCTCCACACCTGTGCGACCCTACAGATGTGCGGTACAGGTGCGAAGTCCGTGCACCTGCGCGCGTCCTCCCCCTCGCCGCCCCTCCCCATACGCAATTGGCTTTCCGGGCAGGTGCGCCGGCGGCGCGGCCCCGCCCCTCCGGGCCCCGCCCCTCCAGGCTCAGGTGCACAAGCCGGAAGTGCGCTCCCCTCCCAGGTAAGTGACTAAACTTTCCGGGTCACGTGAGCGGGCGGGGCCGGGGGTCGGAGGGAGCGGCAGGCGGGACGGACCCTGGAGCTCGAGCGAGGGTCCGGGACAGCGAGCCGGTGAGAGGTCGGGGACGCCCTGGCCAGGTAAGGCGGAAGGACGCGCGGACCGGCCCGCCCCACCCCCTTGCCCGTCCCTTTTCCCAGCCCTGGAACGCGCTCGCTCGGGAGTTAATCTTTAATCTCTGACCCTCGGCGGCGAAGGCGGGGCGGCCCGGGTGTCCTGGAGCGCGGCGCCTGCCCCGCCAGCCTGCGCCCGGGTCGTCCCCAACGCCGCGCTCCGGCCTCTCTCCCCCGCCCGTGCCCAGGTGCCGGGCCGCAGCTACCCCCGGCCCAGGATGCGGTGGTAGAGGCGGCGCGCTCTGGAAGCCGGGTCCCTGGCGTCACCAACACAACTCCCAGCCCATGGCGACCCCGGGCCTGGGGCTGCTCCTGGCGCTTGGCCTGGTGCTGCTGCCCGCCCGCCGGGACCGAGCCTGGGGGCAAGGTAGGTCCTGGCCCGGGGCCCTCGGGGAGGGGTGCGCTGGATTCCCGGGCTCAGAGGCGCTGGGTACCTGGGGCACCCGGAGGGTGCAGAGCTGGGCGATGGGCGTGGGGGCGCTGGGGAGAGGCTGGGGCTTTTAGTTTCTGGCTCCTTCGGGACAGGGCGGGTTGGGCTAGAACTCCAGCGCTCTGGGGGGGGAGGTGGACATTGTGGGCTGGGGGAGGGGACCCAGGTGTCCCTGAGGCCCTGTAGTTGAGAGCTGTGGGCAGGAAGGGACTGGGGAGGAAGGCTGCCCGGAGCCCTGAGTGCGGGTTGACTCTGCTGGCCATAGGTGTGGGCCCAGCGGGCTCCTCGGCCCTGTTGCATTAGGGGGCCCTGGGGGGAGGTGTGAGTCAGGTACTCCCGGGAAAGGCAGGGCCTGCCCAGGTCCTGAGGGCCGAGGGCCAGCGTGGCAGCAGTGTGTGTGTTGGGTGGTGGCTTCCGGACACCATCTATCCTAACAGCCCCCTACTTGCACAAACAACTGTGGGCTCCTTACTCCCTGCTGGGCCCTGCAGGGGGGCGCTGGAGTGGCAGAAGAGCAGGCAGTGGGGGTGGGGTCGGCTCCCTGTAGCCAGGATCTCTGTTCCCAGGGGAGACTTGGAAGGGCCAAGCTGGGCCCTCTCGGGTGGGTGGAGATGGGCCCGGAAGGGGAGGTTGGACGGGGACTGAGTCACCCTCTCTACCCAGACCCTGCACCCACCTCTGATGGCAACAGCAGCACCAGCAGCACCATGCCTGACCTCAGCTCCGATGGGGGCCTGGTGAGTTGGGATATGCGTGGGAAGAGGGGAGCGGGGCTGTTCTGGGATCCCATAAGCAGCAGGTAGAGGGGACTGGGCCCCTCCGGGTGAGCAAGACAGGGTGGCATTGGACAACTCCAAGTGGGAGAGACTAGAAGGCCAGTGGGACAGCGGGGGACCTAAAGGCTCAGAGTAAGGGTGCTAAGAGCTCCGAGGAGGCGGGATGGAAAGGCCAGGTGCGACTGAAAATGTGCTTATGGTCATGGCGGCGCACACCTGTCATCCGGCGTTCTGGAGGCTGAGGCAGGATGATAGCCATGAGTTGGAGGCCAGCCTCACTAATGGTGAGACCCTGTCCAGAAAAGGAAAAAAGAACGTATGGTTGTGTGTTTAAGTAAAGTGAAAGAAATTCGTTATAGTAAAACATTCATCGCTGTGAATTCCCCACAAAATACTGCTTCTCACTTTGGTTTTTATTTTTGTTTTTGTTTTTTTTTTTTTGTCTTTTTGAGACAGGGTCTTGCTATGTAGGTCACGCTGGCCTTGAGCTCACTTTGTAGCCCAGGCTGGTCCTGAACTTGCAATGATCCTCCTGCCTCAGCCTCCTGAGTGCTGGGATTACAGGCGTGCGCCACCACACCTGGCTCCCTCCTTTTTTTTGTAGTTGAAGGTTTCAATATCTTCTTTTCTTTTTTCCAATCAGATTTTACTGGTACATTTTAGATATATATAATGATCATATTCATCATAGAGAATTTGTATCTGTCCATAATATAACTTGATTCTTTTTTTTCCCCATTCCCCTCACCTCCCTTCAATCCCTTCTCCCCTCCCCACTTATAAAAGCTTTGTTTCCATGTTTTCCCTTCTTTTCTCATTTTTTAAAACTTTTCCCATCTTTCCTTACCCCCTACTCCCACCCTTGGTCCCCTCCCCATTTGAACATTTTCTTCCTATTGCACAATACCTATTGTACACGTTGGTCCTTATGTACACTTTGGCTACCGTGTCTTCATGAACCTTTCCATTAGATGGCACTCAGCAGCTGCATTCACTGTATTTCTGATCGCACCTCCTGAGGCTCTCAAAAAATAGGGCCTTTAGAAGTGCTTCAGAAAGTGGCAAGAACAATGGGGATAGATGTGTTCAAAAGGAGAGGGAGGGGCTGGGGATTTAGCTCAGCGGCACAGTGCCTGCCTGGCAAGTGCAAGGTCCTGAGTTTGATTCCTGGTACTGGAAAAAAACCAAAAACAAAAAAAACAAAAGGAGAGGGATATTTTGAGGGGGATTCATGCCAGTGTGTCTTTTAGTATCTTTACGTATTTATTTATTTATTTGTTGGTTTTTTGAGACAGGGTCTCACTATTGGTTCAGGCTGGCCTTGAACTCACTATGTAGCCCAGGCTGGCCTTGAACTCATGGTGATCCTCCTGCCTCAGCCTCCTGCGGGCTAGGATTATAGGCGTGTGCCACCACTCCTGACTGTATTTACAATTTCACAATTTTAACATTCACTGTATTTTTGAATCACTCTTTGTACCTGGTGGGTGTCCCCTATGCCAATGCTATGGAGCCTAGAGCTGCAGGCATGGTGAGGGCAGGGGATGTGGCAGGTGTGTAGGTCGGGGGGAGTCTTGAGGGGGTCCCAGAAAAGTGAATGAGGATCCAAGCACCCCCAGGTATGGGGCAGATCACTGGAAGCGGCAGGTGTGCTGAGGGGCTGGGGGAGGAGCCCAGGTGCAGAGCAGGGGGGGCGGGCAGATGGGACCCTGGGGCCCAGGTGGTCACACCTGCTTCCTCTGCCCGCAGTCTCCAGCGGGCCTTACTGCTATCATCGTGGTCTTCTCCATCCTGGGTGCCCTGCTCCTGATTGTGGGGCTGGTGCTCCTGGTACGGAAACTTCGGGAGAAGCGGCAAACAGAGGGCACCTACCGGCCCAGCGTTGAGGAGCAGGTGGGTGCCCGTGCGCCTCCACCCCCCAACCTCAAGTTGCCCCCCGAAGAGCGGCTCATCTGATTGCTGGGGCCACAGCCACTGCCACCGCAAAGGACAGCCCAGTGCACCCTGGCCCCCAGCAGCTGCCACCGAGACGCCAGCCTCTGACAGCTCAGGAGGACGTGGGGGACGCGGGGGCGCCGGGCTCTGCGGCATGCTGCCTCTGCTTGACTCTGCATGCAGCCAGGCGCTCGGGGCTGCGGGCCCACCTCCCCGCTTGTTGCACCCATCACCTTGGCGCTGCTGTGTGCTGCTCCTCTGCCTCTGCAGGCCCAACAGCCCCCTGTCCTTTCTTTCAGTTCTCCCACGCAGCCGAGGCCCAGGCCCCCCAGGACTCCAAGGAGACGGTTCGGGGCTGCCTACCCATCTAGGTCCCCTTTCCTTCATCCACCTCCCTTCCTTGCTGTGTGACCTTGGGGGAAGGCAGTGCCCTCTCTGGGCAATCAGATTCATCCAGTGCTTAAGAATAGAAGGGAAGAAGGTGCTTAAAGACTTTGCCTCTGAGGGCAAGGGAGGGCTGGGCTGTTCAATTTTTATATATTTATATAACATTGGTAGTGAGCTGTAATAAAGTTTTTTGTTTTTTTTTTTGAGCTGGTGGGAACATTAGCCTAGATGGATGACATGGAAACAGAGGTGAAATGTAAGGTTGCAAGAATCCTAGGAGACTGGGTTGGGGGGACTCCCAGGGGGAGGACTTTCAGATTCACCTAGGAGGGCCGGGGATATAGCTCAGTGGCACGAGCGCCTGCTTGGCAAGCGCAAGGTCCTGAGTTTGATTTCTGGTACCCGCCCCCCCGCAAAAAAAAAATAGATTCACCTAGGAGCGTCTACTGGTCCAGAGGCTTCTCTTGGAGGAAGGGTGGTAGATGGGGTGGGGTTCTGAGCAGAGAGAGGCCCCTGAGAGAAACAGTAGGAAAAACCAGCTTTAGGCTCTGTATGGTTTTATTAGGGACTGGGGTTTCTTCCAGACGCCTGATCTTTAACTCTCAAAACACTTCTTTAGATCAGCGACTCGGGGCCGCCTTCCAGCCGGGGGCTCTCGCCAGCTGCTGGTGGGGGAAGCAGGGGGATCAGGGGCTCCCTGCTCCTCGGGTAGTTGGAACTGAACATGCTGTAGCAGGACCTGGGGAAGCTGGGCTCCGGGGTTCTCTGGAGAACTGGGGTCTGGGGGAGAATCAAGCGAATGGGATGTCCAGGTAGTGTCGGAGGTGGGTTTTGTGGGGATCGGAAGTTGGACGCTTTCTGGAGGGCTGGGCTGGGTGGGCACTGCCGAGAGCCTGGAGCCTGGGTGGTGCTGGGCTCTGGGACCCTCGGCCACCTTGTGGGGAGGGCCAGCCAGAAGGTTCACGGGCTCAGGAGCAGGAGAGGATTTGGGGCCCCCTTTGGTGCTCAGGTCTGCAGTGGCTGTGGAAGACTCGGACGGAAGCATGGCTCCTTGGTTGGCCTCGGGGGACAGCTGAGGACTGGTGTTCTGGGGGGAGCTTGTGGCGTCCAGAGGCGGGCTGATTTGCAGGGACGGCAAGTCCGCAGGCAGGGAGAGGGGCTGGAGCTCTGGTGCCGTCTCGTCCTCTGGTTGCCAGCTGGTTCTTCCGGGTCTGTTGGGCTGCGTGGAGCAGGGGCGGTGATGGGAAGGTAGCTGGCGGTTAGGATGAGCGGGTGGGGGAGGCTTGGCTGTGGGGGCTCTCACCAGGCTGAAGCAGGTGTCCAGGTCACCTTGGTGACAGCAGTCTAAGCTCTGGCTGGGCCGCAGGCTGCTTGCACTCTTGGTCTCTACGCTTAGACTGTCCAGAATCTCGCTCAGCAAATCCAGTTCCTCCCCGGAACCCAAAAAGCTGCTGTCCAGGGTTTCCTCTGGCCACAGGCCGTGGGCATCCTCAGGGCTCCCAGGGGGTGACCTGCGTCCGGTGGACAGCCCAGGTGTCCATTTCTTTGCCTGCGGCCCCCGTGCCCCTGCCCTGGCTGGCCTGCTCTGGAGTCTGGGGACCCTCTGTATTAATGCTGGCTGTGCCTTCCAACACCAGCCCCCACCCAGACTCACCTCTCTCCTGGGGACTCAGAAGTTTGCTCTTTCAGCCTGAGCCTCCTGCTGGGGCGCAGGGGCCGGTTCTGCAAAAGAGGAGGTGCAGAGTCAGGGGGCTGGGGCTTTCTGGAGGAGGGTGAGTTTGAAGTGGGGGGAGTGAGAAGAGAGTGCAGATGTTGCTGGTGACCATTTGCACTGTGTGCATGGCGGGGGGGGGGGTACCTTACCTGTCCGAAGTGTGGGGTGATAGGCAGGCGCTGCTGCAGGCGCTCTGAGCGGCTAGTGCGGGCCGGGGCCCTCAGGGAGCCCACCCTGTGCATGCCGGAGTCCCCGTCCTAGGAAGAGGATGCCGGAGCGGTGGACCACACCCTACTCCCCGTGGAGGCGCTGGCCACTGAAACGCGACTTACCTTGTACACCAGTAAGCTCTGCATGCCCTTCAAGCCGCTCTTGGCCTGCAAAAGAGCCACGGGAGGGTGAGACTGAGGGCGACTGGACACTGGGCACTCGAGATCAGCCCTCTGTCCCCGAGGGAGGACGCCACGCTGTGCCAGCTGTCCATCCCTGTGTGTCCCCAACACATTCACTCCTCCGCAGCTGCCCCCTAAGAAGTCATGCAAACTTTTGGCCCTCTGACTAGCATGAAAGTGTTCCTGGGAGAAATAACCTCTGTGGGAAACAGGGACTGGCACGGTGGCCTTGGAAACTTGTGTCACCTGCCTCAAAGTCAAGTGAAGAATAAAATCAAAGAGACAATTTTGAGCTGCGAAACTTGGTCCCAGGAAACGTTCAGGATTGGGAGAAAATGCCAAGCACGGGCGCTGGGACGCAGTACCAGGAAGGACAAAAGATATTCCCCCGTGAAACTTGGTTGTCAGTGTGAAATGGGTGAGATGATTGTGATAAAAACGAATACAGTAAATGGAAAATAAAAGCGGGGAGAATGTTTAATGGTTTAATTGCTGGTTCAGTTCTGAGAGAAATGTATGCATTTACTGGAATCAAAATGCCCTGTTTCTGTGAAGCGGAGAAGTGTCCATGTGCTCTCTCCCATCCCCCGGGGGAGTGCCCACCCAGCCCAGCCCAGCCTCACCGAGCGGTACATGTTCTTGACAGCTGGCTGGGTTTTGGCTTTGACCGAATGCAGGAGGGCACCACCACCTTTCTGGGAAAGAAAGATGCCAATGGAGAGGCGGGGTCCCTGGAGTCACCAGGGCTGGGCCCCAGACCCTGACCCTCACTCTAGGCTGTGTGCTGCTGGACAGACCCGTGTCCTTCTCTGGGTCTCAGTTGCCTCTTTAAATGAATGCAACGGAAACTAAACCACAGAAGGAGGGATGGATTAGTGTCGTTACCTTGAGGTTGTCAGCCCAGAGCTGATAGGAGCGGAGGGTGCCTGGGGTGAGGGAAGAGCGTGGTGGTCACTGACGCAGGCCGGGGCTGGGGTGCTGGTGGGGACCCCAGCCAGGACCCAGGCTCACCTGTGGAGGCCCCACAGCAGGTGATTTCCTGCTCGAATTCATCTGAGAAGCCCTCCCCTGCGTTGAACTTCTCCAGCCGAGCTTCAATGAACTGGGGTGAGGGAGAGGGTCAGACAAGTCTCAAAGCCAGGGCTGTGTCCCCCCATTCACCCCAAGAACCCCAGATGTGGATCCCTGCCTTGGTACCAGAAACCTAATTCTTCCAGCTCCCAAATCAGGACTGGTCCCCAGGGAGCAGACCACACCCCTCCAGATGACCCACCCTCTCTCAATGAGCTGGGAATACTGCACCCCCATCTTTACAAACCCTAGAACCAAGCCCCACCCTGAAGGACCCTAGAGTCCAGCCCCACTCCACCCATTCCTAGGACCTAGGGGGACCTCCCCTCTACCTGAAAAGGAGTCCCCACTCAGGACCTGAACTCTGGAATCCTGCACAGATCCTCACCCCAGGAGGATCCCTGCTTAGGGACCCAGTAATTTGGGCCCAAACTCCTCCAGGGGCTTAAAAATGTGTCTTGACCCTCAGGAGCCCAGGAGCCCAGCGGCTCTCAGGTTTTTTATTTTTTTTGTCTTTTTGAGACAGGGTCTCACTATGCAGTTCAGGCTGGCCTTGAGCTCACTTTGTAGCCCAGGCTGTCCTCGAACTTGCAACGATCCTCCTGCCTCAGCCTCCCGAGTGCTGGGATTACAGCTGTGTGCCACCACGCCTGGCAGCTCTCAGCTTTTGGAATGCGGAATTTAGTGCTGCCTCTCTCGCTTGGGGGCCCTGGAGTGGGGGGATCCTGCTGGAGAGGATTCATTTCTACCCTAACACCCCCGAAATCTGTTGTAGCCTTGCCTATGAGACTCAGGAGTCTGCCCCAGCCCTGCCCTGCCCCCAGGGACCTAATCATCCACTCTGACAGTGCCCCCAGGAGTCCAGTGGTCCACCTCTGTCCCTTAGCCATCTGCGAACCTGTTTGAACAACTGCAGGTGCACAGCCCGCCGGTGGAAGGCCTGCAGGGGTGCCCCAGGCTTCTGAGCCAAGAAGGCTTCCTCACTGAAGGTCACCGGCTGGCCCTAGAAGAAGGGCCCACATCATCAGAGCCCCTGCAGCTGTCCTGCCCTCAGCCTCCTCCCTCCTTCTACCCTATAACCTATGTAGCCGACATACTTGGGGCATTGTCTGCGTACCTGACCCTGTGCAGGCCTTGTGGGCCTCTGGGAGGGCTTGAATTTTTACCTAAGGGAGCTGGGATTCCTGGGAAGACAGAGCAGGGATGTGACAGGTAGCCTCTGGCCTCTGGGTGGACCATAGACTGTGGGGGTAAGGACAGGAGCCTGCTTCGTGGGGGTAGGTGGGGGAGTGGACACATACTGATTGTATCCTAAAAGGAGAGCTGACAAGAATGCTAGATGTGCAGGTGATACTCCAGTTTTCGTTTGTTTGAGGCAGGGCCTTACTATGTATTTCAGGCTAGCCTTGAACTTACTATGTTGCCCAGGCTGGCCTCAAACTTGTGGCAACCCGACCCTCCTGCCTCAGCCTTCCCAGTGCTGGGATGACAGGCGCGCACCACCACGCCAGCCTCCCCCAAAGTTCTTATGGAACAGTTGTAAAAAATGGGGGAGGCGGAACAGAGCTCGGAAGTGAGCAGATGCAGGTTCTGGTATCAGGATGCTTCCCCAAGCCTTAGTTTTCTCCTCTGTAAAATGGGGCTATAAAAGTATCCATCTTAGAATATGCTGAGCATTGAACAGAAATAGTGAAACCTATATCAGTGGAATGCTTATTATATGCTTGGCACTAATCCACGTGCCTGTGGTACACTGCCTTTTGGATGGGTACTAGTGGAATCCCATTTTACAGACGAGCAACCAGAGGTGATAGTAAGCCCTTCACAAACACTAGGCATCTTCCACATTGTGACTCCTTCCCAGAGCCACGACAGCAATCTCTCCCCCGGCACCTGTCCCCGCTGCTCACTTGGCTGTAGACGAGTGCGTCGCGATACCCCCCGAAGAGCAGGGCCTGAGCTTTGAGGAAGAGACGAGACACCCCTTCTCCCGGAATTAGCGCGACCTTCCTGAGCCGCAGCCTCAGCAAGGACACCTGGGGAAGAAGCGGGAGTCCCTCGATGTGTGGGGCTTCCGTTCCCGGAGCGCGAGGAGGGCGGTCGTGGAGGAGGCACTCACCACGTCTGGAGGCAGCGCCCGCACGTCGTCGAAGGGCGTCTCCAAGGTATTAGTGTCCACGTTCAGCACCACGACATCCTCCAGGGCTTTGTCGCGTACCCTCTGCGGGGGAGGTGAGGAGGGCGACAGCTACTCAGAGCCCAGGTAGGGGAGGACATCTGGGGATACCGGGGCGGGGCTGCCGCTTACCTCCGCAAGGCTCGCGTGCACTCCGATGAGGTAGGGCATGGGCGCGCTGCGGACAGAGGGTGGGGTCACGCCTGTCCCCCCAACCCTCAGGCCTCTTCCTAGCTAGGCCTGGCCCTCCTCAGCCCCCCACTCCTCACCAGCAGTAATCCAGCAAGTGTGGGGGCAGCGTGGGGATCAGCACGTGCTCCCAGCGCATGGGGTACAGGAGGGCGCAGGACGCGTGGACGCAGGACGTCAGCTGGAGACCAATCGGGTCGTGGAGTCAAGGGCCCTGCCTGAGCAGGCAGCTCAGACGTCCCCAGGCTCCGGTCCTCTCTACCTCAGCGGACACCGGGGTAATGTGTAAGGGCAGACCTCTAACAACCCGGTGAGCAGGCTAATTACAGTCAGCCTTCGGTATCTGGGGGTGGGGTGGGGGTTCCGTATGCGCGGATTTGACTAACTTCAGATCAGAAATATTCAGAAAAATTTTACATATGTATATGCATGCCTGTCATCACAGCACTCTGGGAGGCTGAAGCAGAAGGACTGCAAGTTCCAGCCCAGCCTGGACAACTTGACAATTTAGGGACATCCTGTGTCAAAAATTAAAAAACAGCTGGGGATGGAGCTCAGTGAGGAGGTCCTGGGTTCTATCCACATCGTACTGAACATAGACAGAATTTTTCTTGCCACTGACCCTAAAGGTGCACCATAACAACTATTTATATAGCCTTTACATTGTATGAGTATTGTAAGTCACTTAGAAATGGTATTTTCCCTCGTTGCGGTGCTGAGGATAGAGCTAAGATTCAGCCTACCCTCGTCGCATCCCTAAGGGTCAAGCCACGACTCTACCTCACTAACCCCATCCCTAAAAATGAAAGATTAGAATCGTCCGCTGACCACGCCCTACGGGGGCGGAGTTATTGTTGCCACCGCCCACATTTGACCTAGGGGTGGGGCTACAGTGTGGTGCTCGCGTATCGCGCCGTCCAGGGGGCGGAGCCAGGCCTGCTCTTGCGCGCAGTGGGCGGTGCCTGCCTGCAGCGCTCCCGAAGGGGAGGGGCTACGACACCGATCCCTGGAGCCAGAACTTTGCTCTCAGCCCTCCCTGGGAATCAGCCCCGCATTCTTCCCCTCCCCTGCCCGGCTGGCCCCTGCTCACGGTGCTGAGCTTGCTGGCCGTGAGCAGGACCCGTCTCTCTGCCAGCAGCGCGGCGAACAGGCCCACGAGGTTCTCATCCGTCACCGCCACCACCAGCTCCGTGAGGTTTCTCTGCTCGGAGAGGGGTGCGCGCTGGGCACGGGCGGACGCCGCGATCTTGCAGCCCCCTCGGGGTTCAGGGACTCGTCCCTGCTCCCCGAGTTCCCTCCCTCGGCCCCACTCACATTCTCTGGAATGGATGGCAGGCAGCCGGAGTCAGGAGCCACAAAGCAGGGAAGCTGCGGGGGACGTTGGCGAGGGGGACTCGGTCAGCCCGGGGCTTGGCCCCGTGGCGCGCAACCACCCAGGGTCCCCGAGCCTGCTCACCAGCCGGCTCTTCTCGGGCGCAGGCGGCGGGGCTCCGTGCCCGCTGGAGATGGCCACGCCGCTGCCCTGGGAGACAAGGAAAACTGTGTGGTCGTCAGGGTCGGGGGCAGCGCCTCACCCTCTGCCTGGGGGTTGGGGGGCTAGTCACCAGCTCCAGCCTCGGTGTGGCCTGGGGTCCGGGCGGAGCCTGCTGCCGCAGGTTTAGGAGCAGTTCCTCGGCCTCCGAGACCTGGGCGGGGCGGGGAGTCTAAGTTAGAAGGCGGCCTCCAGCCTCTGAGGGCTTTGGCTCAGGCTGGGCGGCCGGGGAGGCTCCGAGGGACTGAGGTCTGGGTGGGAGCTGCGGGGGCCGACGCGGCAGCTGGTCTCACTTGGTCCTGGGCCAGCAGGTCCCCCACGGTGTTCAGCAGCTTGTAGAACACCTCAAACCACGGCAGGTGGCTGTGGAGAGAGGAGTCAGGCTCCAGAAGTCCCTGGAGACCTCAGTCCTTCCCGCCACGCCGTCCCAGAGCCCCCTGGGCCACACCTGAGGATGCAGAGGCAACTCCTGGCGCCGGCTCGCAGGCGGCAGAAACCAAATCTGCGGTTGCCAACCAGGTCCGTGAGGGCGAAGGTGAAGTGCTGCACGGCGGGGCTGGGGGGCTCCCTGCGGGTGGGAAAGGCGCTCAGGGAGATCTGGTGCTTGGGCCCCGACTCCCTCCAAGGGCGCTCCTGGTGCTGCGCCCACTGGGCAGGGCCTTGGCTGCATAGGCCCTAGTTCTTCTGGTCATTTAGTAGCTGATTCTATCGTTCATAGCTTTCTGCAGGGAGGGGTCTGGAGTAGTCAGAGGCTTTGGGGCCCCGGGTCCTTGGGGGTCAGAATCTCAGTGCCTGTGGTTCTTGGGCCATAGATTCCTGTGTCCGAGTCCCTGGGAGCCCCAAGTCCCTGATTCTGTGGGTCCCTATGCGTATAGGTCCTTCCCTCGGTGTCAGGGTCCCGGATTGTCTGGGTCCCTTTTCCTTCAGGTCCCTGGGTGTATGGTCCTCTGATTCAAGATTCTGGGTATTTAATCCTTAGAGTTTTTCCGTGTCTGTCCCCTTCCATACCTTTCCACGTCAAAAGGGAAGCAGAACTTGGGCACCATCTGCATGGCTTCCTGGAGGTGGAGAGGAGCACGGACTGTCACTCGGTCAGACCCCATCCCCAGGCTCTGGGCCAAAGCACAGACTGCCTCCTGCCCCCAGGATCCGGCCCCCGGCCTGGCCCTGAAGGAGTAAGGGGCCTCCTGAATACCTGGTCCCTGAAGTCTGGGGGGAACTGACGCAGGATGAGAGGATCTATGGAGAAGAGACGCTTCTAAATTCCGGGCATTGAGCCCACTGCACCGCCCCTCCCAGTGCCCCCACTTACCCTCCTGTAGGGAGGCGGGCCGGGCAGCCTCGAAGAACCAGTCAAACGCCGCGGTGGGACCCCCTCTGTGGGATGGAAGGGGCGTCAGTGGTCCCGGACTTGCTTCTATGTATGTGGGAATGTACCTGCCACTCAGCACAAGTGTGTGATTGTGCATATGTGTGTGAGCAGGTGTGCTGCTGTGTGCACGGCCCCAGGAGTTTGTGGTGGTGTGTGACTGTGCAAGGCTGTATGTGCAACAGAGTTGCTTGTGCATAGCATGAGTGCAACCATCTGTGTCTGCGTGCTTGACTTGTGTGAGCATGCAGTTGTGTGTGTGTGTGTGTGTGTGATTCTGTCTGGTGTCTGCCTGAAAGGATGACTGACTGTCCCATGGATCTGTGGGGCAGAGCGGTAAGCGTGGGTGACTGGGTATGCAGGTAAATTGCATCACATCTGCCTGTTCTCCCTGGGCTGTGTCTCTGGGTAAGTGTGTGAGGACGCTGTGGCTTGCCTGTGTGTCTGTGTGATATTTCAGTCGCACACCCCACAGCCTCGTGGCTGACTCTACATTTCTACCTGGAGAAAGGAGGCCAGGATGTCCTGCTACTAACTGCCAGCCCTGCAGCCCCTGCCTTCCTCCCTGCCCCCTCACATCTCACAAGAGGATGCTGAGACTTGGGGTCAAGGAAACCCCAAGAGGCACATGCTCAGAGGGGCGCAGACACTCCCAGAGTCACAGACTGAATCCCTGAGCTGGAGCAGGACAGAGAGAGAAAGGGAGAGAAAGAGACAGAGACAGACAGACCGACTGACCAAGGCCGGCCTGAACAGGCCCCAGAGTGGAATGCACAGGGCAGGCTGGCTGAGGTCCTGCCCTGACCCCTGCCACCTGCCCCTGTGGGTCGCGGTAGCTCCCAGGCCTGCCCTGGGAATCCCTGTCCCTGGCTCCTCTTGTCCCCAGCCCTGCCTGGGAATCTTGGTCCATGGATGAGGGAGGGGGTGGCTCTTACTCAGCTCTCGTTCCCATGGTCCCTGCAGGGCTGGCCCGGCTTGGCTGGGCGCTCTCCGGGGGTCCTGGGGGCCCGTGCTTGCTACGACTGGGCCCCGGGCCGTCTCAGCTTCCTGTGTGGCTGACAGAGGAAGTTTGACAAGAGTGACGTCCCCGTCCCCGGACGGAGGCCCCAGCCCCCACTCGCAGCGAGAAACCCAGGCGATCTTGCTTCCTGGCCTTGCCTGGGGTGGGTGGGCAAGAGGTAGGAGGGCTCCGGGGCCAGATCTCCGGGTCCATCCTGTCACGCTGGGCCATGTCTGGTCCCCGCAGTCACACTCGCGCCTGCGGCTCCCTTCCTTTCTTAGCAGCAGGTGGGGAGTCAGTGGGCCTCAGATGCTTCCCCTTCCTTTCCCTCTGGTTCTGCCTCTTGTGCACCAGGCTGCGCTACACGACCCCCGTGGGAGCTGGCCCAGGGAGAGGACACGCAGGAACCAGGGACAGGGACAGGGACAGGGGGACGGTCAGAACCCAGGCACAAGGAGGAAGCAGTGGCACACCCCTGTCATCCCAGCACTCTGGAAGGCTGAGGCAGGTGGGTCACAAGTTTGAGCCCAGCCTGGGCAACTTGGCAAGACCTTGTCTCAAAAAAATGAAAAAAGGGCTGGGCATGTAGCTCAGTGCAAAGACCCTGGGTTCAGTCTCTAGCACTGCTACAGACAGACAGTACACACACACACACACACACACACACTCATGCTCACAGCCAGGGAGGGGCTGTGCTCTTCAGCCTAACAGTCCAGGGCAGGGCCTGCCGCACCAGGAGGGGGCATGAACTCTGCAGAAACAGGCCAGGCGAACAATTCCTTTATTCATGAGGGCGAGGCAGGGGAGAGGATGGTGGGGTTCAACAGGGTGGGGACCCCTCTTTCCCAGGGCTCCAGGCCTTGATCTCTGCTTGGTCCAAAAGGTAGGAGGAGCTGAGGGGAGGAGGCCAGGCATGAAGCGGGGAGCAGGGAGGGTCAGAGGGGGCCCGGGGCTCATGGGGCTGAGGGCTCTGGAAGAGGGGTCAATAGTCACCCATGGCTTGCAGGTCTAGGGGTGTAGTAGAGATTTTTGGAGAGGTCAAAGGTGAAGAAGGGGTGGGGGGGGGAAAGAGGGCTTATTAAGTTAAAGATGGGCATTACAGGGCCACGAAGCACGGCTCAGGGGGATGCCAGAGTTGGAAGAGCTCCAGGGGCGTCAGAGACAGCGGGGTTCAGGGGTCACGGTGGGTCAGGGTCAGGGAGGCGGTGATCTAAAGGACTGTCAGGGGTGCGGGGAGGGGTGTTCCTGGGGTCCTAGGGTCAGAGCCGAGCCCAGCAGGGAGCAGACGGAAAGCGTCAGGACTGTGGGACAGGGAGGGTGTCTAGGGGTCAGGTTGGAAGCAGGTTGGAAGCAGCGCAGGTCCTAGGCCACCTCCTCCTCCGCCTCCTCCTCGAACTCGCCCTCCTCGGCCGTGGCGTCCTGGTACTGCTGGTACTCGGACACCAGGTCGTTCATGTTGCTCTCGGCCTCGGTGAACTCCATCTCGTCCATGCCCTCGCCCGTGTACCAGTGCAGGAAGGCCTTGCGGCGGAACATGGCGGTGAACTGCTCCGAGATGCGCTTGAACAGCTCCTGGATGGCCGTGCTGTTGCCGATGAAGGTGGCTGCCATCTTGAGGCCGCGCGGCGGGATGTCGCACACGGCCGTCTTCACGTTGTTGGGGATCCACTCCACGAAGTAGCTGCTGTTCTTGCTCTGCACGCTGAGCATCTGCTCGTCCACCTCCTTCATGGACATGCGGCCCCGGAACACGGCGGCCACCGTCAGGTAGCGGCCGTGGCGCGGGTCGCACGCGGCCATCATGTTCTTGGCGTCGAACATCTGCTGGGTGAGCTCGGGCACCGTCAGGGCGCGGTACTGCTGGCTGCCCCGGCTGGTGAGGGGCGCGAAGCCCGGCATGAAGAAGTGCAGGCGCGGGAAGGGCACCATGTTCACGGCCAGCTTGCGCAGGTCTGCGTTCAGCTGGCCCGGGAAGCGCAGGCAGGTGGTCACCCCGCTCATGGTGGCCGACACCAGGTGGTTGAGGTCGCCGTAGGTGGGGGTGGTCAGCTTGAGGGTGCGGAAGCAGATGTCGTACAGCGCCTCGTTGTCGATGCAGTAGGTCTCGTCAGTGTTCTCCACCAGCTGGTGCACGGACAGGGTGGCGTTGTAGGGCTCCACCACCGTGTCGGACACCTTGGGCGAGGGCACCACGCTGAAGGTGTTCATGATGCGGTCGGGGAACTCCTCGCGGATCTTGCTGATCAGCAGGGTGCCCATGCCCGAGCCGGTGCCGCCCCCCAGCGAGTGCGTGAGCTGGAAGCCCTGCAGGCAGTCGCAGCTCTCCGCCTCCTTGCGCACCACGTCCAGGACGGCGTCCACCAGCTCTGCGCCCTCTGTGTAGTGGCCCTTCGCCCAGTTGTTGCCAGCTCCAGACTGGCCTGCAGAGGGAAAGCGGGGACCACGTGAGTGCTGATGGGGAGCCCCCACCCTGCACAGGTCTGCTCAACCTGGAGGGCCCCTGAGGGTTAGCTAACAGTAGCAGTGGGGCATGGTGGTGCATAGTTGTTATCCTAGCACTTGGGAGGCTGAGGCAGGAAGATCGTTTCGAGACCAGCCTGGGCTACAAAGCAAGAACCAGTCTTAAAAAAAAAAGTACATATTATGGGGTACCACAAGATGTTCTGACAAGTGTGTACTTCGTGTAATATTTAGACTAGGTCAAACATATCTATCTTCTCATTCCTCATTTTTATGGTTAAAAGATTCAAAGTCCTTTCTTCTAGCTGTTTGAAACATGCAGCATATTACTGTTGTCTCTTGTTACCTAGTGTGTAATAGCATGTCCACTACTACTACTATAATAATAATCATCATCGTTATTATTATTCGCGGTGAGATAGAACGTGGTGCCTCCCACACGCTGAGCAAGAGCTCTGCCACGGAGCTACATTTCCAGCCCTACTATTACCGTGTTCCCTGCTTCCACCTGTGTCCCACCTTCGCCCAGCAGGCAGAACACGCCTAGGAAAACCTAAATCAAATCACGTACTTGAGTTCAAAATCATCACCCAATTCCTTTCCTGACTAATAGCCCAAGTCCTCCCTTCCGCTAGAGGGCGCTGTGAGCACCGAGTGCGGTCCCTCCCTCCTCTGCCCTCGGCCCTCTACCGCTCCCACTGCCCTGGGGCCAAAGCCCAAGTTGTCCCGCAGCCCGCAGGGTAGAGCGGCCCGTCCCCTGTCCCCCCTTCGCTCCCTCTGCTCCAGCCACACGGGCGTGCTTGTTCTAATGTCAGGCTCGGTCTTGCTCCAGGGCCTTTGCATGGACCGCGAGGCGGCCTGGAATTCTTCGGGCTCACATCCTCTCCTCGCAGAGCTCCTCCTTCGCTGCCTTCAAGTCTTTGCTAAAAGTCGCCCCTTCGTTAAAGCATCTCTGACAGTCCCCACCCCGACCTGTGGTGACCCTCCTCGCATTCCCGTGCCCTCACCTTGTTGTTTTTCTTGGCAGCACCCGTCTCTGCCCAATCTCCTTTTTCTTTCTCCAGTACTGGGGCTTGAACCCACAACCTTCGCACTGCGCCACACCCCCAGCCCTTTTTATGTTTGATTTTGAGTCGGCGTCTTGTTAAGTCACTAAGTTGCCTAACCTGGGCTCAAGTTGTGATCTTCCTGCCTCAGCCTCCCGGAGTGCTGGGATGAGAGGCGGGCACCACCACAGCCGGCCCTGAGTCCACACTTCCACCACAGCCCTCCCCGTGCTTCCTTCTCCGGGAGGCCACAGAAGCTGCTGTCCCACCTGGGGGCCACCATAGTCCCTCGACAGTGCCTCACACCCTCTGCCAATCTCACTGGGGCTTCTTCACAGCCGTGCCCACCTCATCTTTCAGGTCTCTGAGCAGATCAGAGAGGGGAAGTCACTTGACTGGAGAGCACAGCATATCCAGTCAGGCTCTGAACGGCCCTGCGTGCGTGGACAAGGGCTGCGGGGTGCTGGAGAGGGGAGAGAGGCCCTCAGAAGCACCCTTGCGTTTACGTGCTGAAAACGTGCCCGCCTCCTTCACCTGCTCTGTCCCCTCCGTGACCCCTGGCCAGACCAGGTCTGAGTCATCTTTCAGGTGGCAGATATCAATAGCGATAATGAAAATAATAGCACAGCAATGAATGCTTATTTACCTTTTCCCGGGAGCCAGTGACCATCCTTAATTTTTTTTTTTGTTGTTGTTGTTTGCTTTTTTGAGACAGCATCTCCCTACATAGTTCAGCTTGGACTTAAACTCACTATCTAGCCCAGGCTGGCTTTGAACTTGCAGTGATCCTCCTGCCTCAGCCTCCTGAGTGCTGAGATTATAGGTGTGTACCACCTCGCCTGGCAGGGCTCACTATTGGTTGGATTCATGAAGTGGCTGAGCTGGCATTTGCACCATACCAGTCTGGTGAATTAAGATGCTGCCTTCTGCAGTGGTTCACAACTGTAATCCCAGCACTCTGGGAGGCTGAGGCAGGAAGATGGCAAATTTGAGTGTGGCCTTGGCTACACTGTGAGGTGAGCTCAGGGTTGACTTGAACTACGTAGTAAGAGTCTGTCTCAAAAAACAAAATACAGAACAAAACATGCCATGTCTGAAAGCCTTCCCCGACCTGCCTGCTGTCTCCCGCCGGGCTCCCAGAGCGGCCTTTGTGTCCCCGTCGCTTTCCTGCGGTCATCACTGACTCTGGTGTTATGTGGAACACTTTCTTTTCTTTAATTTTTTCTAGTATTGGGGGTTGAGCCCAGCACCTTCCTGCTGAGCTCCATACCCAGCCCTTTTTATTATTTTTTTAAATTTTGAGACAGGGTCTTGCTAAGTCACTCAGTTGCCCAGGCTGGGCTGGAACTTGCAGTCCTCCTGCCTCGGCCTCCCACAGGGCTGGGATGACAGACACAGGTCAGCGGGCGCCTCCTTCCATTGAGGCGGCCCGTCTTCATGAGGCACCTGAAGCACTCACCAAATACGAAGTTGTCAGGCCGGAAGATCTGGCCGAAGGGGCCTGAGCGGACGGAGTCCATGGTGCCGGGCTCCAGGTCCACCAGCACCGCTCGGGGGACGTAATTCCCTCCTGCAGGGGAGCAGATGGAGGGCAGGTGGCGTGAGCGCAGGGAGCCGAGCAGGCGCCGAGCCTCCGGCCTCTCCCTGCCAACCCGCGCCCCCTCACCAGAAGGCTGCCCTGCGCCCTACCCGTGGCCTCGTTGTAGTAGACATTGATCCTCTCCAGCTGCAGGTCACTGTCCCCGTGGTACGTGCCGGTGGGGTCGATGCCGTGTTCGTCGCTGATCACCTCCCAGAACTACAGGCGCGAGGGTGGCGAGGGCAAGGTTGAGGAGGGGGCCGGCGGCCGGGCCCAGCTCCCCCTCCTCCCCCGGCGGCAGCCTGCTGCCAGCAAGGTGACGGGGACGGGAGAGATGGCAAGGGTGACACAACGAGAGGTGGAGGTGGGGTGAAGCAGTCGACAACCCGCGCGGCCGACCTGTGCCCGCGGCCGGGGGAGGGGCGCGGTCCTTTGTGCGCGCGGAGGGCACCGCGGGCCAGCTGTGCGGCCAG